TACCAATTCTTTGCTTGCAAGAGAACACAATGAACAATAGTTGGAAAAGTTAATCAGACAGGGAAATGGGGTACATTTTTGGAATCTCTTATAAAAGTTCAAACACCAATGCCCTGGTGTGGGAATCATAAAAAATGCAGTTGAAAAGAAGTACAAAAGTATAGTATCTTTAAACTTGCACTTAAAAAATATCTTAAGTAGATTTCATGCTAGAATACATTTTTGGATTAGCACTATCAGATGCTATAAAGAAACTTAAATTCCATTAAGTATTACTGAAAAGGCGTAGGAAACTTCTAACTAGGACTTGCTTGTCACACACATTCCCGAAGCTATAGAAACCCTGTCTCACCAGAAGTTTCAAGACTAAAGGAAACTTAGGTCTCCAGGAACACTCAATTTGTTGTCCCAATGGAAGCTGAGCAGAGGTCACTCAGTCACTTCCTGTAAAACAGTGAATCAGGTCAAGATGAACCACTGGTCTAGGATCACTCCCGGAAACATAAATCAACTAACTATCAATATTAGAAACAGGTTGATTTAATGTAAAAAAAGAAAACAGAAAATAAAAGTGCTAAAAGATGAGGACTATAGAATAGTCAACAGAAAAAGAGGGGGAGAAAAAAGCTTCCCCTCCCCCAAAAATCTAGAAAGATATCTTATTCTGATATATTTATAAATTTCATCTCATGTATTAATGTGCATTAAAGTTAGCTTGATACAGTAAGTTGAAATAAAAAATTTCTCTTTTAAGTCAATAAACAAAAATATTAGGAGATACTGCTGAAGAGTAGAAAAATAAGACAAACTTCTTAGTGTTCCTAAAATTAACAGTCTCATAGAGAAGTGAACTTGTTCTTGAGAGAAGATGGATGTTTCTGGTATTTGTAAACTGATTTATGATACTGCAAACAATAACAGAAAACATTCTTAATGAATTAGGTGCGTAAACTCTGCAGAAGACTGTAACCCTTCAAAGTATTTATAAGAAGAAATGTAGACTGAGTTTTTAATCCAGTCATCATTATGCAGTTTTAGAGCTAAGGTTGCTTCTAAAGAAATAAAAACATAGAAAGAACTGATCCTAAACAATTAAATAAAATCGGCTCACTTGCAGATTCTTGTGGCATTTTCTCTAGAGTAGGTTTACTATACAGTTAAACCTACCATCACTCTTTTCATCAGAGGTTGGGAAAAAATTAAGAAGATCAAGAAAAATCTGAAATAACCTGGATATGTGATGATTAATTCTGGGTGTCAACTTGTCTTGATTAAGGATCACATAGAAAGCTGCGGGGTGTGTTGTGAGGTTGCTTTCAGAGGAGATTAGCATGTGAGTCTAAGTGGGAAACAAACACCCTCTCAATGTGGGCAGGCACCATCCAATGTGCTGAGGATCGAAAACAGAGAAAAGGTGAATGCGTGGCTCTGTCTGCTGGAACTGGGATACAGTCTTCTTCTGTCCTAACAACACTTTCAGACTCCTTGATCTTTGTACTTTCGCAGCTTCCAGGGTTCTGAAGCCACTGGCCTTGGAGTGAGAGTTGTATCAACAGCTTCCCTAGTTCTGAGGCCTTTGGACTTGGACTGAGAACCATGCTGCCAGCCTCCCAGAGTCTCCAGATTGCAGAAGGCCTGTTGCAGGACTTAGCCTCCATAACCATAATTGTGTGAGCCAATCACCCAGTAAGTGCCCTCTCACATATCTAACAATATATACACCTAAATCATCTATATCTATATCATCTATATCTATGTCTTCTATTGATTCTATGACTCTGGAGAACCCTGAGTAATATACTAAGGTATTAGAGTATGTAAATGTTTGTGTATACACACAAATATACAAACTTGTTCATACTTTTTAAATCAAATGATACATATTTCAAATGGAATTAAAATGTCTAAATTGATGTCTCTTTAGTGAGATCTTACAAGAACAATAAGCAAAATGTGAGAAATATTATCTTTCCTGTCATTTAACATATCCATCAAATGAAAAAAAATTGCCCAGCTCTAACATTTAACTTAGCAATCGAATCCACCCAGCAGATATGCCTAACCCATCTGATGTAGTGGATTCCTTTGCTAAAATTGGACCAATTGGACCTTTTGTATTCATACATGAAACAAATATTTTAAAGGCATACTTAATTGTGGACTATAATACACTGCTGTCTACTACTCCATCAATATATACATTGTTTTCTAAGGTCTGGAACAACAACAGTGGTACCAAGCATCTAAGAAAGTACAAATCAGGATGAAGATGTAAGTCAGTGTATTTATTTCTACAAGGTATCAAGATACCAGATTTAAAAAAGAAAAAAATCAAAATACTAGATGAGTGTCTTCGAATATCAAATAAGATAATCTAGTAAATTATTTTGTGAGCATTCAATTATATATGCATTTTTAATTAAAATAAATATCATAATATTTGTTAACATTTCAATTGCCTTCCGTGATAGCAGATTCTATATTTACTAGTCTTCATCCTTGCCCTGTGATTCCAAGAAAAAGGAGGCAGTAGGAAGGAGGAGGAAAGGGACGAAAAAACATTCTAAAATGAAATATGGCAATAATTTATGTGGTGGGAAAAACGAGTCTGTTCTACATTTTTAATTTCCTATTTCTACATATGCCACTACCTCAGAGCTTCCCATAATTGTCTGAACAATCTCGCAATAGACTAAATAATTCAAATATATTGTTACTTTCATAACTATTAAGTGTTTATAAAACTTCTCCAAATTCACAATTTACAAAATATGTTTCAGAACTATGCTTTTAGTTAATGAATATACTAGAAGCTGTGAAAATGAATTTCTTTCAGGTTATCAGTCTTGCTCAGCACTCATTGGTTGCCTGAAAGGGTTCTGACTGTCACTTTCATTTATCTGCAGCCTAGAAAGAAGACAAATACACATATATAATATCTCGATATCTCAATGTTTCCCTCTAATTACTTTTAGTGGGACTTTATTTCCTTTAGGGACTTTTTTCCCCCCACTATGAAACAGTGGAGGCTGGCCATTTAACACTTCGATCAAATGGAAATTCTAAGCTTTTAAAATTCTCATACTCCACAAAAGTTCTATTGCTGGTCAGAAAACTGCTTCTTATTTTAGCTTCACCAGTTTCTGATTGTGTGGTCTTGGGCATGCTGTTGAACTTGGCCTTTGCTCTCTGGAACGTAGTTTCTATAGTCATAGAAATTCTAGAACATATCATTTTAAGTGCTTTTCATTAAAAAATGTTCTGACTTATAAATTATGGTGTTTCATGCTCTCAAGCAAGAATCCATCCATTTCAACTTTTTGTCCTTATGACAGGACTTAAAATCCACATTGTGAATGTAGTGGTCATAATGGTGGAATAATTCCTAAGAAAGCACTGAAGGTGTTGCCTAATCCAGTTGGTCAGAACACAGTTTATTGAGCCTTTCACACATTTACAATATGAGTTTAAATGTGTTTTTGTCATTCTGTTTAACAAGGGACTTATTTCAGTATCATACAAATTATAAAATCTAAAACTATTGGTTTACTTATCAAACTGCAGTGAAATCAAGTGACTACCACATTGCTGATTATGGATTACTTTACTTAGAATAAGAAAGTGCCATACCAATATTAATCCCTATGTTTTGATAATGAATAAAATTTTAAATACAGATAACTAGGTACCATCAAGTAAAAAGTCTGTGTACTTTGACTGAACAACATGAAGTTCAACGAACAGTTGTAAACCACTGAAATGAATAGCCACACTTCAGCTATGAATGGATTATAACATGTTAGAAATGTGCTGATCACAATTACAGTTAAGGAAGGAAAAGATCCCTGGCTGGAACATCTTACTGAGCATCCACTGTCTCCCTGAAACTGTCTACGGGTCATTAAAATCCCAGGTAGAATAAGACAGAAGAACAGTGAGTGATAGGTCTGTTAAATCCATTGAAATGAAGTGTGCCTGACTCAATTAGATAAAATGGGAGAAATCTGGTTGGCAAAGAGGTAAAAACATAATTAATAAAGAGTGAAATAATTTTGACACATTTGCTTCCTGTCATTTATGATATTTATACTTAATAAAATATGTTGGATCTCAAGACATAACTAAGAGAATCATGAATTTCTCTCCAGATCAGCATACTGCAAAGCTAACAGCTGCCTCCAGATGGATGATGTTACATGGGTTGGATTCACACTTACAGGAATCAGATTCCTCGATAGTCATAGTAAGTGAGTATTGAGCATTTACTATGTGCTCGACACTGTGCTAAGGCTCTTTATCCATGATTTCCTTTAATCCTCAGGAATTTCTATGTGAAATAAGTGCTGTTCAGAAATTAAACTGTCAGAAGGGAAACAAACGTGAACTTTTGTCAAAGTTTATGACACCAGCAAGTGGTGGAAACAAGACATCACTGGAAACGTTTTTTCTTTTTGTTATCAATACAGCGACTTCATTCTGTATTGACGCCCCTTATTATTGCAAATTTCCATATAATAAAAATATGGAGGTCCTACGGCCTTCAGCCTTGTTTTCTCCAAGCAAAACCACGGGTAAATTGACTTGAACACCAAATTATTATCGACCCTATGCTCCACCTTTATCACACATGGCTCTCGGGTATATAATAAAAAAGTTCCCTCTGGCACTCCTCTTAACTGAAAACCTAGGTACCTTTCTGCTTCGGTTCCCTGCCCCTACCCAGTTAAGAACACTTATAGACACATTTTAACAGTAACATATAAAGAAAATGAAACCTTTATCAACAATAATTTCTTCTCAGTATAAGATGAAAATAACTATTAGCTTGCTTAGATTGAAGCTCCCTGACACAATAGGGCCTGTGACTGACAAACACCATTTGCAAGATTCACATGGCAGTAATTTTTATTTTGGAGGTCATTTCAGTTAGGTATTTAAGAATAAGAAACAGAATATATATATTTTTAAATTATAAGTATATTGAAATTATGATTTCTGACCTGGATCTGTTGCTGGAGCAAATTGATTTTGTGTTGTTGCTGCAGAAGCTGCTGCTGTTGTCTTGCAATCTGCGGAGAAATTGCACATGAGAAATTTACAAGTATATTGTAGTCCCAGAGGGAAGTTACTAATGTTCTGTTTCTCTAAGTTTGATTTGACATTGAATAAGATGATGAAAATAGATGTGTCTGTGCTCCTAAACTTTTAGCAATTCATACTAAGTAAGATCAAGGAAGATATTCAATCTTTAGAAGCAGTTATGTTTCTTTTGGCCTAAAACAAATGAAGCCTAAGACACTATGACAGTGATCAACCCCAGAAAGAAATGTCTGGTTTTCAAGCATCCCTCTTCTTAGTGATACCTTAAGAAGGCGCTGCTTCTGACATTCTCAGCCTTTTTCTATAACAGTGTTTCACAAATGGGGAGGGGTAGGTTTAAGACTGAGGAGTTCAGAGTAGCACAAAGTATTGCAAGACACTGGATTTATTAGTAAAGTTTTTGGTAATTTTTTGTTTTTAGATAAATAATTTTCTCATTACTGCCTCTCACAAACCCCTAACTACCAACTCAACACATACCATTGTCGTTTCTGTTTCCATTTCTCTACCAGAATGATTCTTAAGAAGATTGTCAATCACACCCATTATTTAAAAATTCTGAAGCATTTATCAGTTCTCGCCTTTTGATGTCTCATCAGAATTCAACACTCAAATGCTTTCCTTTGATCATGAACTTTCTCTGTTGGCTTCTGTGACATCATACTTCCCTGGTTTCATTTCTACCTCTCATGTCTTTTCCTTCTTAGTCACCTTTAATGGCTCTTTCCAGCCACTAAATGTTGTAATTCTCTCAATTTTAGATTTTTGCTCTTTTCCTTCGTACTTACTTCCACACGTAAGCCAAGTACTTCTAAATTTGTTTCTCTAGCCTAGATCTTTGTTTTAATCATCAGATCCACTTATTGAGAGACTTATTCAAAGGTACCTCAAGTTCAACAGGCCCAAAACTAAATTTGAGATTTAGCCTTCCATATAGTCATCTTAAATATTTCCTAACTTAGGGAACAGCACAATGACTTCCCATACCCACTGTTGTTTGCACTTACAACACTCCCTACATTTACTTAACATTATGCCCATGCTATGACTTCATATTTGTTTATTTATTTGTTATTCACATCTTTCTGTCTCCTAAGGAGAAGTCTATAAATTCAGTGATAGTAGAGGCCATGTAAATTTTAATCACTATTCACAGGAAGTCCATTATAAAGGAATGCTGAATGGACATCTGATAAGAAGAATGCATTAATAGATGAGATGAAAATTGTAAACATTTAATCGCATGGGATAGGATGTAACTTCTAACATCTTAAAACTTATCACTGTCTTATAAATAAGTTCTAGATCTCATTCTCATCAAGTAATAATCGCCATTATTTTCATTAAAAAAAAAAATCTTAGCCTCTGTATCCAAAAGTAAAAAATACAGGAAAAAAAATGATACATCACCATGAATAAAAGTAGAGAACCCACGTGATGAGGATGAGTCTACATGGCTACACACAAAAAATTTTACCTCCTTTATGGATGTTGGTATAATTATAATTGTTTTAATACTTTAATTTTATCTTTGGACTATGGTAAAAAAAAGTTTTTTTCTTTCTTTTTTTTTTTTTTTTTTTTGAGACATAGTTTACTCTTGTTGCCCAGGCTGGAGTGCAATGGTATGATCTATGCCCACTGTAACCTCCTCCTCCCAGGTTCAAGCAATCCTCCTGCCTCAGCCTCCTGAATAGCTGGGACTACAGGTGCCCACCACCATGCCCAGCTATTTTTTTGTATTTTTACTAGAGACAGGGTTTCACCATGTTGGCCGGGCTGGTCGTGAACTCCTGACCTCAGGTGACCCACTCACCTCAGCCTCCCAAGTGCTGGGATTACAGACATGACCCACCATGCCTGACCCACAATTATTTTTCCTGAAGAAAGTGATAAAGGAGACAGTAGAAGAAGAAAGATTATCTTTTCTATTAAGTCTCATTCCTTCCTCCCACATATCAATATTTCAATTGCCATTTAAATCATTTTAATGAAACTTTCAGAATACTCCAGAACCTGACTACTTCAACCTCCTGTGCACTTTCTTCTGTTCACTGTGCCTTTGTCTGGACTGTTGTAATGGCCTCCATATGCTCTTTGTGTTTTGCTCCTGTTCCCTATAGTCTATCACAAACCAGCATCCTGAGAGTACTTCTTAAAATATAAGTCCACTTTGGGCATCCGAGTCAGGCAGATCACAAGGTCAGGAGTTCAAGACCAGCTTGGCCAACATAGTGAGACTAAAAGATTAGCCGGGCATGGTGGCAGGCACCTATATTCCCAGCTATTCAGGAGGCTGAAGCAGGAGAATCACTTGAACCTGGGGGGCGGAGGTTGTAGTGAGCATAGATTGCACCACTGCATTCCAGCCCAGGTGACAGTAAGAGACTCTGTCTCAAAAAAAGAAAAAGAAAAAAAATATATATATATATGTACACATATATATGTATATGTGTGTGTGATGTTATGCTATTCACCTCTCCAAAACTCTTTTCTCTCACTCATCAAAAAGGCCAGTGTGCATATAATGCCTTCAAGGCCCTATATGATTTGGCCTTCTTTTACCTCTGTGATTTCATATCATCTTTAATTTTTATTGTCATCCCACACCTGCCACATTGCATTCCTAACTGCCTCTTTTACATACCAAGCATGCTCCTGCCTTGAAGGATATTCCTGCTTCTGGGCCTTTGCACTTACTTTTTCCTCTGTCTGAAATACTCTGCCTAGATAGCCCCATGGCTCATTCCCATACATCCTACAGGTTTCTGCTCAAATGTTTTTAGTCAATAATGTCTTCCCTGAGCACCCATTTTAAAAGAACATAAACCCATAGATAATACCCTCATTCCCAATGCCCCGCTTAATTTTTCAACATAGTACTTACCAACATATAGTTTACAGTTTATTTATTGTCTACCCCTCTCAGCTAGATTTCAATATATGAGGGGTTTTTGTCCGTTTTATTTCCCATTCTATTCCCACTAACTAGAACAAAACCTGGCATCAAATTGGTGGTCAATGAATATTTGTCTAATTGATGAATGTGGGCTGGAGCTCAGAATCTGGAGGAAAGGCTCGTCAGTAAACAGGTCCTCTGGCATTGGTAACAGCTACATCAGGAGTATTAGAATGCACAGAATGGGAACATCTGACACTCAGTAGGGAGTGCTGGAAGGAGTATCAGAAAAAGACTTTAGAGGAGAAGATGCACCTTCCCTGACCCTTAAAGAATAAGTATTAAATGCCCTTCATGGAAGAATATGCTACCACAGAGTGGTACCTGTGCATACCTGCTATGTATGGTGGAGAAGCGCTGGGAGAGCTGAATGGGCTCTAGATACATGACCTGTGGCTATCACCCGGGATCTTCTCCCAGGCTGTGGAAGCAGCACCGCAGGACATCTCTCCTACACAGGAGAGAAATTCTTGAAGAACTTAGGGGTTTGTAAAGTTCCAAGAAGAATGTCAGCGGTCTTGGGAAACTATTAGAATCAAAGGATTCTAGAATCCTTTCATGATCTTCAGAGATGGGCCAAAATGTAAAAGAGAAAAAAAGAAACTTCCTCTCCATCAGTCATTGCTTAGATCTTTCAGGACATGTGTGCCCTCAGGCCCACCAAAGCAAATAGAGATTATCTACAAAAAATATCCCCGGCCAAGCTACATATTCGGAGACTCCTAGGATTCTCCAGAATTCAGTTGACTGAAAGATTCAGAGTTAAGGACAAGGAAAGAGTGCTGTTGTTTTATACTGTTACTGGCAAGCATTCCAAACTCTTCTATCATAGGGGTAAAGCATATGGGCCATATCCAAAAACAAGCCAAAAACATCTTTAATGAAAGTGATGAGGCACTTCATTAAAAATAAAACTAACAACTTTTAATCAGAGATAAACCATAAACCACCAAGCAGAGAAGAGTAAAAGAAAAATAGGGGGATGGAAAAAAGGAGCTCCTCAAACATAAACTGAGTATTTCTTCATGTCATTCAACCCTGCTAACTTGTACTTGGAAAGATGTTTAGAAGGTTTTTCTAGGATATGTAGACATGCAAATATTAAATAGTGGCCATCCTCCACTTGGGATGGTCTGTGGAATATGTCTAGAACATGGAACAGGAAAAGAACTTAGCCATGAAAAAGAGAGCCATACTTCTACATAAGGTGAAACTATGACACCTCCCCTCTATCATACCTTCCATTTACTACCAATTTCTTTAATAGTTCATAGGCACTGCCTCCATTTTCCTACTATGCATTTTCCAAGTCTTATTGTCTGATTTCGGCTACTAAAACACCATAGAAGCCTCACTCTTCAAGGCCGACAATGAGAATCTAAATGACAAATCTTGTTTCAATTTGATTATTAGAATGACTACTCTTCTACAGCATTTAACACTGCTCCCTATTATCTCTTAAAATCTCCATTTTGTTTCCAATACATTGCACTCCTGGCCCCACTTCCACATCTTTCTTTCTGTATATGTTCATATTCCTTTCTCTGCCAGTTATATATGCCAGTACCTCCCAAGGACCCACTTTTAGTTCCTTTCTGCTTTCTTATTACCATTGTAATTTAAGGCCTATAAGCCTGCCACACCTCTTCATAAAACACTCCTGTCCCTAATATTAACATGGCTGCCTCTTATATATCAGTTAGTTCTGAGCTTAACTGCCAAAGCTTCAGAAACATCCAGCAGCCCCATCTAAGGAGCCAATGCTCCTTGTCATAGCAACCAACATCTAACTTTTTACTGTGTTTATATTTTTTCAAATTATTTATCACTATATAATGTCATCTTGTTAATTTATCTGTTCCTTTATCTGTCTCTCTCTTTCCACTAAAATGTAGGGGCTTTATCTCTCTGGTTAACTGAGATAGCCTCAGCAATTAGTTAGTACAGTGCCTGGCACATAGGAAGCCCTGATTACTGTTTGTCAAATAAATGAATGAATGTTATCTCCTTCAGCAGTTTAAAGCACCATTTCTCTGTAAATAAGAAACAACTGAGCTCTCTTCCAAAGTACTGATTGGTATTTCTAGCTGTCTCTCACATCCCTCCAACTGGACAACCTGACAGCAACTTTAATTCAACATCATAAAACTACTTTCTTTTCCAAACTTGCTCTTCTCCTGACTGCCTCTGTTTCTACTGACGGCATTCTCAATCTCCCTATTATTAGGCTCAATGGTTTTCCTTTCCCTTTTGCCTACTCAAAGAATTCTACTAACCATAACTCGTGGACCTGTTTATTCCTTTTTTTCTCTTTGTCCATGGTTACCCGACTAATTTAGATTCTCACCCTTTTTAATTGAAAGTATTATAATAGCCTTGTAACTGAACTTCCTGTCCCCAACTGGAAACTCACTTTACTTCTTGAAGCCTACCAGTTCTTCAAAGCACATCTCAAATGTCAGCTCTCTAATAAATTCATTCAAAATGTTTCTTGTTGAAAACGTTCTCTTGACTCCCCATGGTTCTTTTTTGGTATTTTCCTCATGATTTATCAAAATTTACCTTGATTATAATTACTTCTAGCTACTTACCACCAAAGTAGTTAATAAGCATCTTAAAATCTGGGTTTTATCTGTGGGTGGGTTTTTTTTTTTTTTTTTTTTTGCCTTTTAATTTATTTAACTAGGGAGGTGGAAGGGACTCTTATTCATTGTTGTGTACCCAGTACAGTGACCTATAAGTAGCAGGCAAAGCAATGTCTGAATAATTTGATTGCATCACTAGTTCTTACTCACCTGTTCTTGCTGCTGCTTGGCCAGCTCCATTTGCTGACGCTGTTTCTCAATCTGAGAGGCAGCTAGTTTCTTCTGCTCATCGTGGGCAGCCAAGAGCTGCTCTCGCAGACTGGTCAGCTGGTTGATCATACCCATGAGTTGCCTTTCTTTCTCAGCTAGGCTCTCAGGAGTCCCTAAAAATAATATGGCAATAAAACAGACAAGCTAAATCAGAAAAAGTGATTACTTCAATGAAAACGACTCTGTTGTATGCAGAGCTAGTCCAAATATAAAGTTCAATGAACACAAAAACATTACCTACCTTCTTTTAGATTTTCACTCAACAGTAAAAAGTGATGGTAATTTACTGATTACAAAGTACCACAATGAACCTGGCTCTCTGGCACAATAGACAGAACACTGGACTTCTACCAAAGTACCAGAATGAGCAAACATTTTGAATGTTTTTACATTTATGACTAGTAATAATCTATAGTTTCTGAAAAATTTTACTTTATAAGTAAATTTTAAAAATGTTAGCTGAGCATCTACTGTTTTTAATGTTCTATGCTAGAGCCTGCTGGAAATAAAACAATGTCCAAAGTATAGTTCTTGGCTTTAAATATAATAGTTTTTCATCTAAATAAAGAAGCAAGACAAAGACTTAAAAAATTAATAGCTATAGTTATTAAGAGGTCAGTGCATTAGTATTAGTGATATGATTCTTCATTTCTTAAAAAAAAAAAAAAAAAAAAAAAAACAAAGATTCAGAACTAAGGAATTCTATGTTACAAGATAGCAAATATCTATTTAGCCAATCAAGTTTTAGACTGTATTCCCCATAGGCCAATTCAGAGTCTATCTTTAAAAATAAAATATAGTTAACTGAGCAAATATTTAAGTTTGAGAACACAAATATGCCAATTGTGAGACAACATGGTTGGCAAATTGGCATCATACTATCATCGCGTTAGCTTATGCATAAATCCAAGATTTGGAGAAGTCATGGTCATCATTTAATATTTTGTTCAATTTATTTAAAACATGCCAATTAATCTTATTAAGTTAAAATTTGTATTTAATATAAGGGAAATGTGTGCTGTTCACTGAAACAGAAACAGTATCACTTTTAATTGTTCTTTTCAAACTCACAATATAGACAAAGTCCCTATGATAAAGCACTACCAGTAGGAGAGAACACCCTCTTTAATTACAATTTTCACTTCAAACATAAGACACTAAGCACTATTTTACTTCTGCATTTGTCACCTGTATACATAATTAGATAGAAGGATCTGTTATAACTCAGTCACCCTTCTTAACCCCAGTGCATTTCTCCTACCAATTTAGGCTAAAAGAGTTTGTCCTATTTTAGGAAGTAGCAGCTATAGTTAGTAGCTTATAATTTTTATACACACATTTGGAGTAGAAATAAGGGTTCTAATGTATTTTACATATAGGCTAGACAACAATATCCAGAAAAGAAAATGTGTGAATAAGGCAGTAACCATTTCGCATACTCTTTCTTATTAACAATGCCTATCCTTATTCAAGGCAGATGGTCTATAATGTGCTGCTAATAATTTATTATATCTCAGATAGTTGGATTCCATTAGAATGAACATTCACTCTATGAATAATAGCCACATGACTATTATATCCTAATATTAAATAATATAAATATATCCTGAAAAGATTTTCTTACTGAAAATATTCATATGCTAGCAAGATAAACATCTTCCTACATTGTTAGTAGAGCAGTAAATTTCTACCACATTTCAAGAAATACACACTAGGAATAGCAATACACATGTCTTAGAATGCACATAACCTACAAAGGATAATTCTGCTTTTAGAAATTTAGCCCAAGCCTGGGTGCAGGAGCTTATGCCTATAATTCCAATGTTTTGGGAGATCCAGCAGAAGGATTGTTTGAGGCCAAGAGTTCAAGATCAGCCTGGAAAACACAGCAAGACTCTTATCTCTACACAATTTTTTTTTTTAATTAGTTGAGCATGGTGGTGTGCTCCTGTCATCCTAGCTACTGGAAGGCTGAGGTGGGAGGATCACTTGAACTCAGGAATTGTATTTCACCTCAACATGGGAAAGGATAACTTAAAAGCTTAAGCAAATCAGTGCATATTCAACACCTACAACTGGTCCTGCAGAATCCAATTAAGTCAGCCCTCTACAGAAGGGTTTCACATTCTGTGAATACTACGTTTTGGATCTGTGTTTAGCTGGGAAAATAAAACCACATATAAGTGGACCTGTGGAATTCTAACCTGTACTGTTCAAGAGTCAACTGTATATATTTGGTGATGAGAATTAACAAATATCATTTTGTCATTAAGTATATGAAAGTTTAACAAAATATTTTTTTGTTTTCACTTAGTCATAAAGAAGTAAATAAGATTTATTTCAAACTTAAAATTTCTAATTTTATAGTCCACATTCATTTCAAACTTTTTGAACCTTCAGCCCACCTTGTCGCATCTTAAGCATTTTCATATGACTTCCCGGACACAATTTCATTCTATTTCAACTCCTACTTAGCTAACCTTTTCTTCTCAATCTTTTTCCCTAACTCCTCGTCTGCCACCCATAAATGCCCATACTCTTCCCAGTCCCATTCTTTATATTTTCTGGCCTTGAACTAACATGTTTTAACCTCTAAGCACTATATTTCAGCAATGCTTTGCATATTTTAACCTACTGAGTTCTAAAACACATAGTCTCATAGTCAATGAAATAATATAGGTGCCAACCCTAAGATTGTCCCCCAGCCCTAGTAACCAATATTTAGATGCAGCATAGGGTATCTCTGAGGGTGTATTTCAGTCATAAAATTCAACAAGCATAGAGTAAAACTCACCATTTTCCTGTAATTTTAAAGCATTATCACCAATCAGCATTCTAAAATACTTAAGAACATCTTCAATTTCCTTAGCAACTACCCATCCCTACATTGGTCATATTAACTAATCACAGTAATTTTTTCTCAAAATAGGTTTGTTTTTCCTTTAATTTTAATTAAAATTATATTTTTCAATATTCTGTTCATATTAGTAAATTATGATGATGAAGAAATATAGTAAAAGATCTCCAACACTGTCCCTTCAAAAGTAACCATTACTATTATTCTTTTGTGTGTCTTTTTCTTGTTAACACAGACTTATGCATATACAATAACATTTCTCTATCAGTTTGCCAGGGCTACCATAAAAAAGTACCACAGACTGGGTGGTTTAAACAACAGAAATTGCCTTACAGTTCTGGATGCTAGAAGTCTAAGATTAAGTTGTTGGCAGGGTTCATCTGTTCCAGGACTCTTTCCTTGGCTTGTAGGTGTCTGTCTTCTGTGTTCACATTGTCTCAGTCTGTACATATCTATGTCCAAATTTCCTCTTCTTATAAGGATACCAGTCATCTTGGATTAGGACCCACCATAATAAGCTCATTTTAATTTAATACCCTTTGTAAAGATTGTATCTTCAAAGATGTTCATATTCTTAGATTCTAGGCATTAGGACTTCAACATGTGAATTAGGGTTGGTAGGCAGGGGGAAGGTGCACAGATCAGCCCATAAGAATGCCTTTTACACAAATGACAACATAACATAAATATTGCTGTACTGACTTAAAAAGAGCTCTTGTTCCAGCCTCCCTTCTCTATCTTCACTGCCATTTTTGTCATCTTTTTTTGTGAATTTCTGTAGCAAATTTTTAAAATAAAACTTTTAAAACAGAACTTCCTGTCATCAATTGATCTCTGTACAAATCTATCCTCTAAAAAGTACCAAACTTAACTTCCTACATAACGAAGTGATGTCATGTCAAAGTCTAGTCCTGTCACTTCCCGTTTATAGACCTCAATTGCTCCCCATTGGCTTCAGAAAAAAACTGTCAAGTTATTGTTATGAATTAATGAGGTCCTTCAAAATATTACATAATCTTCCCACTTCCTCTGTGCATCCTAAATTCTAGCCAAACTGAATGTTCTACCATTACCCCACCACCACCACCACTCTGAGCACTTGCAAATGCCATCTTTAAGCGCCTTGCCTGGGCCAGTATCTCCCTAAACATTCATTCTTCATGTTCCAGCTCACACACCTTGTTTTTTGTGGCTCTTTTCCTGATTTCCATGGATAACAGTTGTTCCCTTCTTTGGGAATCCACACAGCATATGTCTAGACCTTTATTATAGTATTGAATTGTTGCATTGTATTATCTTATGTTCACATTTTTCTCCCAAAGTCAGGGGAGATAGCTGCAATAGCAGCAACTATAAATGATGGACTTTTCTATTCTCATTACCTACTATAGGTAATGGCAAATAGCATATGCACTGAGTATAGAAATCATCTAATACTGTTTAATGAATGACATAAAGAATAAAGCCCCTACCCTTTAAGCTATTCTCAAGTTTAAACATGAATAGGGATTCTAGTTTTGGCTTAAGAGAGTTGAGCCAAAAGAAAAATACACTTTGTGAAAGAAATCTTTCTTATTTTTATCAAAGTACGAAACTGAGATGAAGAAGCCCGTCCAACGGCTTCACCTCTAAATTATCGCGTTCTTCATAGTCACCCCCAAGTGGTTAGAGAGGAGTTAATAAGTGGTCTGTGAACAATGGAGAAAAGTAGCAAGAGTCATAAGACATCCTTGACGTTAAAAAAGTGAAAAGAATATGAACTAGATCCTTGGAATATTCCAGAGATCTCCCAACAAAAAGAGGAGCAACTCTTTATTCACCTAGATTCAGGTTTTTAAGAGTTATAACTAATATATATCTATGTCTATGTAATGTATAACCTATGGAGACACAGTCATGTATATATGAACTTGTTCCCTCTGAGTCAGAGAGCTAATACCATGAGTTCACTTGTGTATGACTGATAGTTATTTCATGTTTCAGTTACTTGCATTCTTGTATGTTTTGCTAGTTCTATGTTGGTTCTGTTCCAATCCCTTTAGAATGAGGGATTACTGAAGACACAAAATTATTCTGTTTCAGTCTTCCTCCTGCCTAAAAACTGCAGGCATGGTAGTCATTTATACTTCTGTATTCCACAGAAGCAGTATATGTCAGATTCCTTAATATAATGAGACAAAGTCATGAGAGAAGAGAACCAGCTTTAGTCATTGCCAGCTCAGTAAAAGACATCATGATCTGATATGGTTTAACTGT